TTCAGGAAGCAATGGCTTCTACAGATGGCAGGGAGTTTGGCCTATGCTGTTTTTTCCTTCCTCCTCTTTTTTTTTTTTTTAATATTTTTATAGAATTTTAGAGAGAGGAAGGAGAGGGAGAGACAGAAACATTAATGTGAGAGAGAAACATAGATTGCATGCCTCTGGCATGCCTCCTACTATGGATACAGCCCACAACTCGGGCATGTGACCTGACGGGGAATCAAACCAGCAACCTTATGGTGCACCACAAGATGCCCAACCAACTGGGGCACACCAGCCAGGGCCTTTCCTTACTTCTCTTACTCTCCCTCTTAACTCCATAGAGCAACTAACACACACAGTAAGATGCTGCCATCACATACCCACCTAGACACAGCCCTATGTCTTCCAAGTGACCAGCATTCTCAAGCCTTTGGACACAGGTAAGCACTGCTGGCCTTCTGATTCCTGGAAATCCTATTCCTTCCAACTTGGGAAAAATCTTGTATGAATAAATTTTTCTACCTCTAAACCAGCTGTGTAGGAATCATGTACCCATGGCTTTAAAGCTTGATTCCAGATGCAGTCTCAAATTGAAGCCTCAACTGTTTAAAACCAGATTTTGTCTTCATAAGACTATTAGTCCCACAATAAGAATCAAGGATATTTTTATCATTTCTCTTGGGACTTTATTAAAACAAAATAAACATTGTAAACTGAGCAACTTCTACATACATTCTACATTTACAGACTAACACATTTCAAGGAACTCACAGAAAAAAAGGAAACATCTCTAATGCAAGAGATGATTTTTCTGTTTGCTTTTCTATTTGAATGACAATTTTTATTTGGGGAGGCCTATGTCTATCAAATAGACAGTAGCATTTGTGGCCATAGTTGTGGCCTAAAGGCAACTATCTAAATCCTGCCAACAGTTGGAATAGCAACAAAGGAATTCTTGGTCTCACTCAAACTACAGGAATGATGGGGCCTCTCTCAAAATACTTAAAAAAATTTATATATATTGTTGATTTCAGAGAGGAAGGGAGAGGGAAAGAGAGATAGAAACATCAATGATGAGAGAGAATCATTGATCTGCTGCCTCCTGCATGCCCCACACTGGGAATAGAGCTTATGACCCAGGCATATGCCCTGACCAGGAATCGAACTGTAACCTTCTGGTTCATAGGTCGATGCTCAACCACTGAGCACGCCAGCTGGTCCAAAACACTTTTAATCAGACTAGACCAAGGCCATACATAATACAGGAAAACCAAACCTCTCTCCTCAGCCCTTTGAGAGTAGTTATGACCAAAGTAGATGTTATTTTAATCAAATCCATTTAAATTATGATTTAAATTACTAAACAGGATGATTCAATTTAATGTTTTACTTTAAAAAATGCATTTTTGTTCCTCTGACATAACCTGATTACATATTCTTTAAAATTCAGTTGAGTATGAGTTTCACTTTTAGAAGATACACTTTATATATTTAAATCTGATTTATGGAAACCATAGGAGTGTATCCCTCAATAATTCTAGATGATTCTGTGCAAAAAGAAAGTTTTAATATTCCTTTGTGCTCTTACTGCCCCCCCTCTTTTATCTTCAGATTCTCTTTGCTTACCCAGATTGCTTCATTTTAAAGAATTATCCATTCATTTGTCTGCTTGAAACTTTGTATTTTTGGAGAGAAAGCCAAGGAATGATTGTCTTATCATCATAAAATGCTATTAACAAGCATAGTTTCCACAGATAAAACCCATAGATGGAAAAGAGAAACATGATATCTGGCACACAAAACAATATTTTTTACTTTGCCACCTACCAAACTTGCTTTCATTGGCTCCCATTGCCCCTTAATTTGGTCATGTGCCATTCATTCATGCCTGAAGTCAACCTTTTAAGAAGGCAGGCTAGGAGCCAGGCACTATGCTTAGCACATGTAAGGATTTAGTCCTGACAAAGCTTACAGTTCAATAGAGAACACAGATAATTCACAGTTATTGTACAAACAACTATACAACAATGATAGATATGAAGAAGTGGAAGGTGGTAGGGCAACTCTATGCAGATAGGGAGGGGGAGTGTCAAGGAAGGCCTCTCTAGAAAGTAACATTGCTTTTTTAATTATTTACTCATAAAACTTTTTAAAAAATATTATACAAATATATTGTCTCAAATATTATAGCAATTCCAAGGTAAGATAGGGCAGGGGAAAGAGAAATCTGTTACTTCTGTTACTATGGTGCCTTGAGCAACTAACGGTAAGGGACATGGTTCCCTCACAAGATTATTACAACGGTCAAGTGTGACACATGTAAAGTACTCAGTATGTAGTGGAAGTCCAATAAACTATAGACAATAATTAATAATTACACAATTTATGATTTATGTTTGACTTTGGCATGTCAAAATAAAGCCAACTTTCCATTCAGTTCTGTCTTTACAAAAATATTCAACTGAAAGAGAAAATTCAAAATTCCATTAAAAATACACACTATGACTTCTGTGACTTTTTTCACTTGGACTGTCCAATTGTCATCATTTTGTTGTACAATGGCAGATATATAAACAGAGAAAAAAGAACAGTTGACACATCTCTGCTCAACAGTACTACCAATATTAGAAAAAAATTATGGAATTGGAGCTTTTGAAGTAGAGCTTTTAAAACAGCAAACTCCCATAGGGCAGTTAACCACTCTACTGAGAGGGTGTAGGCAGAGCCCTTCAGAGGCGGTTCAAATTCACACAGCCCAAGAAGCATTTCCCACCCCATTTATAGCTTCTCTCATTCCAAATTCCCTCAATACTTACAAACACACAACCCACATGACAGGGCTGGTCACACCGCTCATTCCCTCATTAGACACTCACTGTACCTCCAGGTACAAAACACAAGCCTGTGCCTTCAAGGAGCTGCCAACCTGTGGTGGGCCTTACTAAGCATTCTTCAGACTGGTGGCTAACAGTCTTTTATCCTTTTTGGCACAAAGCCCAAATCAGAAAAACCAAAAACTATGTGTGGTTTGTGTTTTTTAAGTTAAAAAATGAAGAACTTTACTTGGTCCTAGAAAAGAGACCACTTTACTCATGAGAAAAATGAGGCCCAGAGAAGAGAAAAGATTTGCATAAGGTCTCAGAGCAAGTGAACAGCAGAGCTGAAGCAAGAATTTAATTCATTCCACTCAGGGCTTCCCATCCCATTTACTGAGCGCTCCTGTCTGCCAGGCGTTGGGTTGTACAGGGAATGCAAGGTAATGGGCCCGCCTCCTGCATCAATTGGACCTCCCCCGCTCATGGTTACAGGATTCACCTCAGCCTAAGCTGCACCAGGCATGACACACCCTGCAGCCTGGAGCTGCATCAGGCATTTCCTGGACTGCTCTGGCAGAGGTTCCAGCTGTTCTGTGCTACACCAACCTGAGGTGGCTCCTGACACCCAAAGGCTCCAGCCTGCTGTGAGTCTGGCCTGGCCCAGGATGGACACAATGCTTACCCCTCCTTCCCCAGAGGCAGTGCCTTTGCCAACCTGGGCTTCCACAGCCAAAACCTCAATGCACAGGGATTCTAAAAAGGCTCCCCCCCCGCCTAGCTTTGATTAGAGCCTTTTTATTTTCCCGAGTGCCCTTGGTTTGTCTGAGCTATATGACTGAAGTAGATCACAGACCACTCTGCAGGAGCTAGGGGGTTGCATGGGGCAAAGGTCAAGGAATGCTCATAATTGTTCTAGAAGGGGTTTTCAAATAGTACACTTCCTCAACTTAAAGGCAGAATGTCTGCATATGGAATAGTGCTGGTTCAGGGAGAAGAATCTCTCTTCCACCCAAATTCAAAATGAGAAATAACCCCAAGGCATTCTCAGATGATGAAGGGGCAGCCCCTGAGTGGCCAGGAAATCAAGGAATGCAACTCGGAACTGCTGATAAATTACACCCAAGGCAACAGAACTGTGCAGTGGAGCTTGGGGCAGAAAAGGATCCTATAGGTGGCTAGTGAGTCTTAAATCCTGCCTTTTATGGGAACCCAAAGCACCTGGAAGATGAGAGAGACGTACAAGCAGAGGAGATGGCAAACATTCACAGAATGAATGCATACATGGTTCTTTCACACAATCTCTCCACCAAAGAGCTTCTCTAGATGGCCCAGCCCTCAGTCTGAGCTTCCAGAGCCCCTCTGCACAGCTTTAGCACACTGTATAATAATTACCTGAGCACTCATCTGTCACAGTCATATCTGTCTAATAGAGTCCAGCATGGTGTCTGCACCAGTGAGCACCAAAAAATGGTAAGTGAATGAAAGATGACCCTGTTACACAGTGCTTTTATTTATTTTTATTTTTAAAATATATTTTTACTTGATTTCAGAGAGGAAGGGAGAGGGAGGGAAAGATAGAAACATCAATGATGAGAGAGAATCATTGATTGGCTGCCTCCTGCACACCCTACACTGGGGATCAAGCCTGCAACCTGGGCATGTGTCCCACACTGGAATCGAACCGTGACCTCCTGGTTCACGCTCAACCACTGAGCCACACCCTCCAGGTGAGTGCTTTTAATTCAAAGGTGCAAGTAGGGACAGAGGTAAGCAGTAGCCATCTGAGGCTGGAGAAAAACAACAGTGAACGGACTAAAGAGGACTTCCCTTAATCAGTTTGAGGAAGAGTGCTACCCATCCCACACCAAGCCTGAAGACTCACCAGCCACAGGACAACTGATCCATTCTATTACTAGGATGAGGAGACATATATAATAGCTAAAACATATGTTCTCATACTTAGCAAAATTGAGTATTACAACTCAACTTTGGGAAAGGGGAAACGAGCAGGTTCACCTAAGTGAGCTAAGACTTGCTATTTCGTATACCAGCTCCATCTCCAACTCTACCTCTCTCTCAGAAACCTATAGACTCAGAGTCACAATCCCAAGTTCAAAGTGGACCAAGTCTTGAGTTCCAATAGGAAACCCTTTTTCATTTATAAGGTATATACTCTCAGTATGAAACTTGTCAACTTACTTTTTCCACGTCTAGATCAGCATCCTGCTTCTTCAAAAAACTGTAGAAGAAAAAAAAGAGACATCAAAAGAGAGCTGAGCACTTTGCCTGTTAAACCACCCACAAAACACGACCATAAAATTTCCATTTGCTACAGAAAATCATTTTGCCCACAATTTTTTTCTTGTTCACACAATTGTTGCAAAGTCATAGTTGCCACAAACACCTGCCTGAAACTGCAAAGAACTGGTCCTGTACCACCAAAAGAAGCTAGCATTAGATTTTAACTTTCAAAAGCCAGGAAAGATAAGAATAGAGGTCTTAAATGAGTACACACACATACAAATACACTTTCTTCAGGGTATTTACAAGTCATCCATAGTTGGAACACACTAAAAGTGAGTTTTTGAGTTTTCTATGGTCTTGTTCAACGTACCTCTTGGCTTAAATCTCCCCCAACCCCAAGTACATATCTGTCTCACTTCCTGACTGTGGGTGGGCCTCACTGTCAAAACAACCTTCTTGAGATAACCCCCATTTCTCATTAGCTGGGGTTCCCCCTCTCTGGGAGGCTTGCCAACTCTTCAGCCTGTACCAACCTGCCATGGAATGCTAGCTCCAGGATTACCTTAGAACCTCATGCCAAGGCCCTGGCAAAGCTAAGTGCTAATTCTGACGGCACCCATGCCCACTTCACATTAATCTTTAAAGTGCTAGCAGGGGGGTGGCAGATTTCCAGTTTGCTCATACACTCTGTCTACAACCTGCCAATAGTATAGTACCTCATTTTTTTTTGCAATTTTAGCTGTTTAAACAAAAATGTCAGTATTAGTAAGGTGTCTAAAGAGAACAATAAAAATGGTTGAATGGAATTGTGTTGACAATAATATGTTTAGGGCAGAAAGTGAAAGGTTTGAGGAATCTGAAAAACAAGAAAAAACAGAAGCAATTTTTCCTGTCTTAGTAGACTCAAACTCTGCTAAATATGATTCTTTGCTTCTTTCTTCTTGGTCCATGGTTTCAAACACCCCCATCATAAATTACTATCCCCATCAAAAGCATCCCCCCACATATACAAAAGAGAATTTTTGTGCTGTTTCAAAGGATGCATAATTAACAGTAGTATCTTTGTTTTGTTTAATCAAAGATGACTCAGAATGTAGGGGGGGAAATGACCATAGGGAAGAGAATTAAAAACTCATATATTGTCTTTTGCAGATGGGCATTCAAATCATGAACTCACTGCAGACATGCAAGAGAACTAGCAAAGAGGCTGGAGGGAGAGAATGTGCTAATGAGCATGCCATGACAGCCTGTACCTTAGCAACCCATGTCACTCCATCTCTTTATTGCTCCTGAGACACGCTGTCCTGTCCTAACCAAGGAGATGTCACCAGGCAATATATGCCTTTTCTTCTGGCTAACCCACTGGGAACTAGGTGTTGCCAAGCTGTAAAAAAAAAAAAAAAATGGGAATTCTCTCTGTCCAGAAATATTAACTGGTCTCCCGATAACTAGAACAGAGTAATACAGTACTATGAGAACTTTTCTCCAAAGGGAACAGATATACAGAGAAAGTCTGACTTCCATTCTTGCACACTTCCACAGAGATTTAGGAAGGTTGTCATTCTGATTTGTAGAACAAAATTTTCTATTTGGAAGGTGAAATATTTCTTCACTGGCCACAGAAAGAGCAGCTGGAGAATCATTACCCCTTTCCAAAGTATTGGGGGAACTTAACATCTCTCATACATGCAGCATAACTGCAACCACACAGGATGCCCAATTCAACAACAGGCTGTGAAAGAATGAGCCTTCACTTCAAGGCACTTTAGCGAACAGTAACAAAAGGAAAACTGGAAAACCGTTTGGAGCTGCTGGCTCGCCACTGCACAAGGAATCTTACCCATATATGTATATACAGCATCATTTGATTCTGTTTCTGGCTTGCTAAACAGATGGAATTAATGAACAAAAACAATATATATATACACATCATTCTGCAGCCATAAACCAGAAGGATGTCACAGCTTTAACTTCCAGACTCCCAGCAAGCACATGTGACCTTAGATATTTTTAGGCACTGGCTCCATTGTTTCAAAGAGTGTAGGGATGGATGAAACAGAATTGCCTAAAAGTAAAATTCATATGGCAACCTCATCTAGAATGAAGAGTGGCATTTGTTTTAAAAACCAGGTATATCTTTCTTAAATAAAGGTTGTGTTTCTGAAAAGTTGGGAATAAATAAATTTTGGTCATGAAGTGTTTCAAGTGAAAAGAGGTATATTTAAATGACTCCTACATTTTAAAAAATAATTTTTAAGAAATTGAGCGATTAGTCCTCAACTTTATCTTTATTTGAAATCTAGATGGTCAGAATATTCAAGTTTTAAGCTTCCAAGGCTTACGGCAAGATAGGCCTCCTCCACTCCCATATGTGTGTGTGTACAGATACAGATGTGCATATTTAGTTATACAGGCATTAAAAATAGTTGACTATGTAATCAATTGTGAGATTGTGTGCATTTTCCATGCTTTTGTTTTTTCTGCTGATGTGGTGCTGATGTTTTGCTTGAGAAACCTAACTGAAGTGACGAAGATTCCTCAGGTTAAAAGCTGATGCATAAACGTTGCAGATTTGTGATCTACTGCAGGAATAGATGCCAAAGGACAAGGCCCTGGCCAGAAAAGAACTACCGTAGTACCCCCTTATACATGGTTTCACTTTCCGAGGTTTCAGTTGCCTCCAGTACTGAAATACTAGATGGAACATTACAGAAAAAAAACACACCAATTCATAAGTTTTAAATTGTGCATAATTCTGAGAAACCTATGAAATCTTGCTCCATCTAGCCTGAGATGTGAATCATCTCTTTGTCCAGCATATCCATGCTATATACATTCCCCGCCTGTTCGTCACTTAGTAGCAACCTCAGTTATTAGATCGACAGTGCTTATATTCAAGTAATCTGTATTTTACTTAATAATAACCCCAAAGCGCAAGAGTAGTGGTGCTGGCAATTCAAATATGTAAAAGAGAAGAAGTAAAGTGTAGTATGCATAGGAAGAAACAGCATATATGGGGTGGTTCCGGCACCCATTGGGGCTCTTGGAATGTATCCCCTGAAGATAAAGGGGGGCTACTGTATTCCTAACTATTTAGATCACATCGAATCCTCCATCTTTGGAAGAATATAGAAAGGTTTTTATTTTTAGAGAAAAATCTGAAAATAAAACTGAGAAACCCTCAACTTTGAGCTCACTCTTAATATGACCATCCCTCCAACCTCCACCACTCCCATATTTCCAAATGCCTAGGGAACATCTCCAATAGGTACCTACCAAAGGCACCTTATGACTGGACAGGGCAGGCAAAGGGATAAAGAGATCGTGAAAGAGGTGTCAGCCACATGTTCAGAGAACGGCGAGAGGCTTGGTAATGCTACCTGATCGAGAGACGGGTAACAGGATGGTGGCGGGCTGGTGGGAGAAAGGCCGTAAACTAAGGTAGAGACCAGATCATGAGAGGCAGCATATGTCAGCTAAGAAGTCAGCCAGATAGGAGAACATTTTTGCTACCTCTGACCAGGTATTTTCAACCTGCCTCTATCCCAGGAAGAGGCAGAAAAATAGATGCAGCCCCAGCATATTCCTGGACTTAGCATCATCATGTCAATCTCACTAACCCTGCTGGGTTAGTATAATTTTCTCCTAATTGGTCTTCAGGGTCCAGGACAAAAATCACCTTTTCACTCTTGTTTCCTTTGGTCCCACTTCTATGCAGAACTAGATCTCCTCTCCTCTGTTCTTACAGCACTTTATTCACTACCTGTTTCACGGTCTCCCCTGCTTGAATGCCAGCCCATCTGTCGCCAGGACACACTGAGCACTGTGCCTCCACACAACTGGTGCCATCTCTGCTGGTGGCGGGGTGAGGGTGATGAGGGGCCATGACAGAGTAACTAATGAAGAAATAACTGACAGAAAGGAAAGGAGTGAAACTGCACTAAATCACGCCCACCCCATTCACCCCTGCATGTAGGAGAAGGGGTGCATGTTGGAAGAAAGGGTATATCCACAAAGCACACACAGCATATCCATAACCAGAAGACAATCTTGTCTTTCAATTTAGTCCTGTGTCTTTAGATATAATTAGACAACAATGACCCAATCTGGAGAGTCTGCTGTTATAGTATTTTTAATATTCTCCAGTGTTTCCTGTTTTATTTTTAAAATGTGACTGAGAAACTGAGATTCAATACATTAGGGTCACAGTCACGTCTCATATGTGATGAAGGAGATTGAAGGGTGCCACGATGAATCCAAGAGTAGAATCACGGTCTGAATTTTGTTTAATTATTTTAAGAAAAAAAAGACTGAGAGAGAAATGAGGTATACTTTTCTCTTGCCACAGATCTTCTCTATTCCCAATTCAACCCTTTTCACTACTTGCAAAAGATTTAAGATATTCACTAACCTGCCAAAAAACATCTGCACATTTCTAGACATATCCTCACACATTCACATCTGAATGGCTTCTTTCTGCTCCAACGATCATGGCTCTATTCAATCAAAATTTAAGTGAGATCTTCAGAACTGTACGTGGCGTGATGTCAGTGGCGACTGAGGATAAAATAGTCATTTGATAGCAACTTCTATATAAAGCGTGTCAACGGAGGCAGTGTTCCTTCAGTTATTCTTAACTTAGGACCTAAGGCACAAAAAAGACCAGGCAGGGCCAGACTCTGCCCCAATTCCAAAGAAAGCTGGGATACACACAGAGTGCACACAGAAGCTCCTCAATGTTCTCTGGCGCGGGGTGGCCCCTGGCTCCCAGCCTGAAGCCCAGGAACAGGCCCATTCTCACAGTGGCCGCCCAGATGCCTCCACAGCTGCACAGACACGAAGTGCAGTGTATGGGACCAGCCACGCTCAGGGGCGCCACAATCTCCTGTGTGTCTGACAGTTGGGGCAGGCCTCAGAGACAGGACCCAGCTCAGAGAAGGCCCTTTGTTGTGGGGTATTCCTCATGGCCCTGTTTCCCTAGGAAAAATGCATTTT